AGCGTAGGTCACAGTGTAAACAAACTTCTATTGAAAATTACGTAGATTTACATTTATAGGCAGTCGTGATGTTTATACTGAATTTATGTTATGAAATAAAATTCCGAGTACCATGTGTAACCAAAAATCGATAATTCGACTATCACGCAGTTGACTGTGGTGTCACCAGCGATCAATTTTTTGTGTGCACAATATGCTGTGCTGTGATAATAATAACGCAAAAATTTATTCGTGTAACCCAGCACTTAACCACTAATGATCCAGTCCCCCGAAAAATATTGTATTATTCGCTTTTTATATAAAACGACACAAGTATTGATTGGGCAAATGTTGATATGTATGAAATATATCTTATGATCTATGATCATAGTTTTACGATTCAAAAGGAATCAGCAGCAGAAAAAACTTTATAATCAGGCTCCGTACATTGTGATACTCCAGTAAATTTTGTAACGATAATAAAAATAAAAAGGGGCTTATATGTTTGTAAAACACGGTAATGAGCATTTCAATAAATACCACTGGTTTTATAAATTTAGGTCTGAAAAGCAAATAAATAATTGACTCACTAGATTAATATAAATTTTCTCAGTTGCCCATATTCAGAAGAACTGACAGCGGTGAAATTAGATAAATCAATGACGCTCAAGGAAATCCGTGAGGTGCTCTCTCAATGTGATGAAAATGGCAAATCCACCATGAAGTCTGATATATGCTTTTGTAACAAGGGAGGCTCAAATGTTATACAAACGAGCGAAGAAGCAAATACTTACCTTGATGATAACGATAATGCTCTCTTCGTTAAACGACGTGAAAATCCCGAAATGACCACAATTCCAGATAACATAATTGAGGATTTTGGGCTATTACTATGTCACGCGGCATCGTTGCCGCTACTGTCGTCGTTTCGGGGAACTGGAGTAGAAAAAGATGAACAAAAGGCGGTTGAATGGTATCAAAAAGCTGCTGAACAAGGATATCATTTTGCTCAATATAATCTTGCTAATTGTTATTATTATGGAACTGGAGTAGAAAAAAATGAACAAAAGGCAGCTGAATGGTATCAAAAAGCTGCTGAACAAGGACAACAGGCAGTTGAATGGTACAGAAAGAAACTATCAATGCTTTCTGGACGCAAACGTGGGAAGATTCCACGAAGCGATAATGCGCTTGAATTAACGTAAGTATCGCTACATATTGCACTTTATGTATTACCACTTGCCTTCTTATATCTCTTTTCACTTCCTTAAAAGTTTCATTCTGTACTGTATCCGTTCTTTTCTTTCGATTGCCTCTAATCTTTCTTAATTACGTTAGAAAACCCGAAAATACCGATGCCATTCTCTCCTTCTTACAGGAGGTTTTGCCCGGTTGGTCTGATGTCAAAACCGCCGAAATAAAAAGAGTTTCGGGTGCTCTGACAAATAATGTTTTCTTTGTCACTGCTTTGACAGAGACATCGAAGGCATCACCTCGAAAAATTCTCTT